GCCTGTAGCTTCTGAGATAGGCTCCGGACCCACTGTGACTCTGACTATTTTATGTTCTCCCATACAAACCTTTTCATGATCTTTTCATGACAGGCAAAGAAAGACACTATCAAGAGCAAAATGCCAATAATAGTTGATCATGTGCTTGTATGTATATGTTGACAGACACAAAAAAAAAACAATTTTCTTAACACAGTGGACTCTATACAAAATCTCACAAATAATAACAGCAACAACAACAAACTCTGCCAACGACAAACAGAAGATAACATTTACAACATTCATAATGTGGAGTTCAGCTGTTGCAGACTGCTGTCATGTCAGTCTTTCTCTTCTTGGTGGGACCCAACTGGACTTGCTTCCTCAGATGAAGCAGACTTCCAGATGCATGATCACCAGAGGTCACATAGAGAAGATGAACATTGGCACAACTACTAGAGATGAAGGTGGTAATTGCAGTGGTATAGGAACCAGCATAGCTGTCTTCCATGCAGTTGACCCTGGTCTGATTCTTGGCCAGTGCAAACTCTATGGGTGGTGCGTGGCTTAATGGGTTGGAAGGCTGTTCCTGTTGTCAGAAGATCACCGGTGCAAATCCACAGTTTGGCAGAGACATTTCAATGTTGGGCCTTCGACCTAGTTGCTCTGACCCTGCTTTCTCAAAAAGGCATGCAGATTTGGATAAATATATCTGCTAAATATGTAAAATGTAATCTGTAAATTGGCCTTGTAGTGACTGTGAAATGAGAACATAAGTGCCTCAAACAACACAACTGTCACCAGAAGATACTTCAGGCTGGATGCTAAAGTACATCTGCAGAGGTTAAGACAATCTGATCAGAAATGAGCCCGGCTGTTTGAGCATGGAAGTAGCTTTCAGTGCAACATGCAAAATGAAGAGTGCAGTTAAAGGCAACAAGAAGACGTGTTCACCAGACCCTTAATCCAAATATTCTGTTGTTTCCACTGACAACAAAACGGCTCTTTAGTTTTCATTTCTGCTTTTGTTAAATCTGCCTCCACCCCCATCCCCTGGCAAAGTATATTTTTCTTCCCCCCATCCCTGTATCACATGGTTATGTACACAGCAGCTATTACAAGGGACAATAATAGAACTCAAGAACATTAACATTCTCCGGTCTGGTTTTGTAGTCAGTGTGATAATCCAGTTCTGTGCTTGTCCGCTGTAGCATGCATCAAAGGGCTGCAGTGTTTTGCAATACCTGAAATGTACACATCAGCAAGCATTGTTTGTGTGTGTGTGTGTGTGTCTGTGTGTGTGTGTGTGTGTGTATATATATATATATATATATATATATATATACACTCACCTAAAGGATTATTAGGAACACCATACTAATACGGTGTTTGACCCCCTTTCGCCTTCAGAACTGCCTTAATTCTACGTGGCATTGATTCAACAAGGTGCTGAAGGCATTCTTTAGAAATGTTGGCCCATATTGATAGGATAGCATCTTGCAGTTGATGGAGATTTGTGGGATGCATATCCAGGGCACGAAGCTCCCGTTCCACCACATCCCAAAGATGCTCTATTGGGTTGAGATCTGGTGACTGTGGGGGCCATTTTAGTACAGTGAACTCATTGTCATGCTCAAGAAACCAATTTGAAATGATTCGAGCTTTGTGACATGGTGCATTATCCTGCTGGAAGTAGCCATCAGAGGATGGGTACATGGTGATCATAATGGGATGGACATGGTCAGAAACAATGCTCAGGTAGGTCATGGCATTTAAACGATGCCCAATTGGCACTAAGGGGCCTAAAGTGTGCCAAGAATACATCCCCCACACCATTACACCACCACCACCAGCCTGCACAGTGGTAACAAGGCATGATGGATCCATGTTCTCATTCTGTTTACGCCAAATTCTGACTCTACCATTTGAATGTCTCAACAGAAATCGAGACTCATCAGACCAGGCAACATTTTTCCAGTCTTCAACTGTCCAATTTTGGTGAGCTCGTGCAAAATGTAGCCTCTTTTTCCTATTTGTAGTGGAGATGAGTGGTACCCGGTGGGGTCTTCTGCTGTTGTAGCCCATCCGCCTCAAGGTTGTGCGTGTTGTGGCTTCACAAATGCTTTGCTGCATACCTCGGTTGTAACGAGTGGTTATTTCAGTCAAAGTTGCTCTTCTATCAGCTTGAATCAGTCGGCCCATTCTCCTCTGACCTCTAGCATCAACAAGGCATTTTCGCCCACAGGACTGCCACATACTGGATGTTTTTCCCTTTGCACACCATTCTTTGTAAACCCTAGAAATGGTTGTGCGTGAAAATCCCAGTAACTGAGCAGATTGTGAAATACTCAGACCGGCCCGCCTGGCACCAACAACCATGCCACGCTCAAAATTGCTTAAATCACCTTTCTTTCCCATTCTGACATTCAGTTTGGAGTTCAGGAGATTGTCTTGACCAGGACCACACCCCTAAATGCATTGAAGCAACTGCCACGTGATTGGTTGATTAGATAATTGCATTAATGAGAAATTGAACAGGCGTTCCTAATAATCCTTTAGGTGAGTGTATATGGCTGGGCTTGCTATTGGTCCTCTTGGGCAAACGAGGAGCCACTTGTTTTATAAGTATTTTTTCTTTACCTCATCATCATTGATATCCTACTTGTGCTCTGTCTCGTACCACAAAACCCAGTGCTCACCTAGAGTTCTTTACTTCATGCTGATGTTCTGATTGCTGATGGAATGCCATTCCATTATCTGCCGCTTATCTGGGGTCAGGTTGCAGGGGCAGCAGTCTAAAGCGGGATGCCCAGACCTCCTTCTCACCAGCCACCTCCTTCGGGGGGATACCAGGGCGTTCCCGGGCCAGCCGAGAGACAGGCCTTCCCCGAGAGGCTGAGAAGTGTGCCCCCTTGACTGTGTATCATCCAGCACACGTGTTCAGCTATTCCTCATTTTATACACAGTGAAGTAATTGGTGATAGCCTATGTGTGGAAATGTTTTCTTTGCTTAGTAAAGAATACAAGTAACTTGTGGGGCGGTGGGGGTTACCAAAAGGTTGAAAAAAACAGTGATGTCACACTTAGTCACTGACAGAGTCATATTAAGAATCACCAATGATTTTGAAGATTTGTACCTGATAAAATTTTGAGACAAATGGCACCATAACTGAAGCAGTGCCACATTGTGATAGCAAAGAGAAGGCCAGCTCAGACACTTGATCTTGTCAGCATGATAACTCAAAATTTTTTTGCCCGATCTTTTCCAAACTTTACAGACACATTGTATGGATGAAGATCTGGACCTTTCAAATTGAAGCAATCAAAATTGCAGCAAAGGTGTTTAGTGACACAAAGAGAAGTATGAGATGATAGAGGCTTCTCCTTGTGAACAGAATCAATCTATTTGTCATTATTACTGTATTTACTGTATTTGATCTTTGATGGATCTTATTACCACTTAACAAAAACATTGTATAGAAGAAAATCTACACCTAAAAAAATGCACACTTGGTTGGATCCAAAATTGTAACAGAGGGTAGCTGGGAGTGAAAATGGAGCCTGCAGCTGCCATCTTGTGAACAGAGCCATCTGCTATCTAAACATACTCTGTGGATCTTTTTGCAAACTTCCCAGAGACATTATACAGGTCAGTCATTCTCAAACTGGTGGGCATGAGATGATTTTCTGAGTATTCTATTCTAATCTCAATTGTGTGTGTGTGTTGTTTCTGATAGCACCAATTCTAGTTAACCTCGAGAATAGTATAATTTTTGTAGAGTCTAAGTAATATATTGACATATGCCTTCAGTATAAGGTTCTTATCCTTTGTGGACTCTGCAGGTTGTAGTCAGTGTGTCAGTGACATGCATCACACATAACACCAATGTTCATATTGTATCAGTCTTACAGTAAGTCCTCTACTGAACCTCTACTGAATCAACCTCCCTCTATGTGAAGGAAAGGGTTATTACAACACAGCACAATTTAATACTGTTAATGACTGATAAATTTTGCAAACTTCATTTTGAATACAATGTTAAAGAAAATATACATAACTATAATACAGTTGCTTGTTAGGTTCTGGAAAAAAATAGCTTGGTTAAAAACTAATGTAGTCAGAACAACCAGACACTCCCCATGATTAATGATTACACCTGGTATCATGTAGAGGAGTTTCTCAGATTACAGGATAAATGGAAGTCCACATGATTAAAAGCATTCAGGCTGGCAGAGCCTGAAATGCCACAAAAGGGGGAAACACAGGTCAAGGTATACAACTATAGACATCAACAACAATAAAAATAACTCTCATTGCATATTTAAGATAATTGATCATTTAACAAATAAGGGTGAATCAACAGCACCAACTAGTATTATTAAATGAAATGTCTAAAATTCTAGAGAAAATAGTTGGGACTCAAATTCAGTTGTACTTAACAATACACTTGATAAAGTCCAATCTTTCCAATAAGTCTGCAGCACTGAAACTGCTTGACATTTGAGGTTGTATATGATGTAAATTTGCTGGTGAGACTGTGAGATTTGTGAGTAATGAGTGTAATACAGAACATCAGTGAAAACAGCTAACAGCTTAGTTCTTGTGAAACACACATATATCAGAACATGAGTGATTTTAGACAGGACAAAATACAATCATAATGTCGCGATAGGCTGGCAGCACTGCCTGCCTGCCTCATAACTAACTATTTTGTATTAGACAACTGTGGAATGAAGTCTCAAGCACAAACTGGCAGCTCTTAACTGCTGGACAATTAGTTCAAGGAAATACCATGAAAGGGAAGGTTTGCGATTAGTATTGGCGTCTCAAGAGTCAGTGATCCTGAATTTCAAGATGAAGTGTTTTAAATTACCTGTCAGTTTCCTTTATTAGTTTGCATGGGTGTGGGATAGACAGACTAAAGAAGTAGACGAGGACCGGATTGAGAAACAGATTGAGTACCTTTTGCGGCCAGCGATCGGATTCGCTCTGTACAGCCACACAGCAAAAAACCAACAAATACGCAGCATTTTGTTTATTAGCATCATAGCATGTCACTTATTAGCATGTCACATCCACCACTTTTACCAGTGATTCTTTTCAGAACGTCACACAAAGCTGACTGAAGAATCATCCTGAAATGTCATTTGAATTGAGATCATTCTCACTTCTCAGTTTTTGACCTTAAACAGAAAAATTTATGTCAAATGACCATGAACAAACACATCACATTTACTAGCTGACGGCACCAATTTATAAAAACAATATGAAAGAGGAGTTAGCTTTGAAAATGGGCCTTAATGTTTTTATAGTCTCCATATTCTGACCCCATATCAAAAAGGAGAGCAAATTCAACTGAAGAAAAAACATTTTGACTGTAACTCACCAGAATTTTTGTGTAAGTCAGATACACAGAACAAAACACAGTGTAGCTTGCAAATCTGACTGTGATATTGCTTGAAATAACAATCTGGTATTATTCCATTAGGCAGGTATTCCAGTCTCCGGGTCCTATTCTTATAACACAGGGGTCTCCAACTCCGGTCCTGGAGAGCTACCGTCCAGTAGGTTTTCTATCCTACCCGGCTTCTGATGAGCCACACCTGTTCTCAGGTAAATACCAGGAGCAGGTGTAGCTCATCAGAAGCCAGGTAGGATAGAAAACCTACTGGATAGTAGCTCTCCAGGACTGGAGTTGGAGACCCCTGTTATAACACCTAAATGTTGCAATAACTCAATTTGTCCACTGGGAGGAGGCAGCTACATAGACTAATTTGGTAGCATATTTTTCATGACACTTGAACTGTATATAGGAATAAAACAGTAAAAATGCATTGGCATAAAGCAAGGGTGGTCAATCTTATCCAGAAGGGGCCATTGCGCATGCAGGTTTTGCTGCAACTCCCTAATTAGATTACTAATTAGAGGACTGATTGGCTGAAGAGTTCTCACACCTGGGTTTGAACAGCTGACTTAAAGGTTATCCCAAAAACCTGCATAGATACCCGCCCTTTGCAGACAAGATTAGCTACCCCTGGTTTAGAGAGTGCTCATCATGTGCAAGGGAACCAGACAGTGTGAATGTGGATTATTACTGACCAAGGTCATAGGATTTAGTCCATTTTTACCAGGAGTATCCTCATTTGTGTGAAATGTAAGAGTAATATGACCTTGTTAGAGGGAAAACCAAATCCAAGAGTGTTAACAACATGCATGTGTGTGCAGCTACACTAAGGCTTATTAAAACAGCAGCTCATGCACATTACACTGAAGCTTAACAGTGACATTGCAACATCAAAGAGCTCACCGGCATGAACTCTTTCTTCGTAGTAGGTACATGGTTTCCACTGGTTTCTACCCACTATTTTTAGATAACGTGATGGAAGGGCCATCACCAGAAAAATAGAGGTCAAAGTGCAGTTTACAGAACAGTAACTGAATTGTAAATGTAACTCAGATCTTCAGAGAGAGAACAGCTCAGTTTAACGGATGCATCCCAATGAGCCTCTACCTATGAGGATTTTAACAAGTAAAACCTAGGAAGAGGTGAAGAAATCACTGGAAAAATGTAAACAAATTCTGCTGATCAAAACCGCTTTGCTACCTTATATGTCAATTGATATTGAGCCATACATGAGGTTAATTACAGAAATTCAGGAGAAACATTCAGACCATTCCCAAAAAAAAATAAAAAATGGCAGATTCAGATAAAACCGTACATAAGAATCCAGTGACTGCTCCCAGCTGCCCTCTCACATCTCATCTCCCTTTTTCCCTTATGTATAATATTTCAATGAGCTGTGTACCACTTGGCCAAAATGCTTACAAATGTATGGATGATGGAAGTGATTTGAACTGATTCCAGTTTCCACCAAAGAAAACACTGTTTCCGGTGACAGCCAGCTGCTCCCTCCAGTTAAAGGACCTACCAACTGTCCACTGGCCACCGGCAGACTCCCCACGTCAGGTACTCGCAGTGAGCAGACGTCACTGGGTGGGAGTACAGCGGTGGCTCTTGTAAGTGCCCAGGTGCCGGAAGCTGCGTCCGCACTGCTGGCAGCAGTAGGGCGTGGCCCCGCTGTGGATGCGCTGGTGGGTGTACAGGTTGCCCAGCTCCTTAAAGCGCCGGCCACACTGCGGGCAGGCGTAGGGGCTCTCCCCAGTGTGCACCCGCTGGTGGCGCTTCAGGCCAGACAGCACTGGGAAGCCCTTGCCACACTGAGGGCAGGGGAAGGGGCTCTGTGCACCACTGTGGCCCAGCCTGTGGCTCTTGAGGCGGGCAGCGTGGCGGAAGCGCTCTCCGCACTCAGGGCAAATGAACGGCTTCTCCCCTGTATGGATGCGTTGGTGTTGCCGCAAGTTGCCCAAATAGTTGAAGTGCCGGCCACAGTCGGCACATTCGTAGCCCCCCGCCCCCTTCTTCTCTCGAGCAGCCCTTGCTGCTGTTCTCTCCTCCCCTTCGCCTTTCCGGGGGCCCACACTGGCCTCACCCAGCGATGCAGACGAGCTGGATGCAGACGGTAACGCCTGGGTGTTGCTGTCCACGTGCATCAACTTCAAGTGCTCCTCCAGAAACAAGGCATCAGGACAGAAGGTTCCACAGAGAGGGCAGAGGTAAGTATGAGCAGGAAACTGCTGACCTGGAGATAGTATGGAAGAAACAGAGGCAATCTGGTAAAAATGAGCAATGTCACATTTGATTTATGATTCACTCATACTCAAATTTAGTCATGTGGTTTCCGAGCAGCCTGCCCACCTGTGTCTATCCTGTCCATGCGCTCGTCCACATCACCCGTTCCCTCCACTTCAGGGGAACCCTGGCTTTCGGCAGGGAAATCCGAGGTGTGTGAGTGGGCCGCAGGACCATGGGGCTGGCTCAGAGCACGCCTCCCCCCATCCGAGTCCCGTTCCTCCATGTCACCCTCATTTACAGGTGTGCCACTTTCACATTTTGGCTCCCTCACACCTGAAGGGAGTACAGAACACCCATCGAGGCGAGTAAATGCAGATTACTCTTTTACAGGATAATATAAATCAAGCATGTTGTGTATTTGGTGTGATTTTACGTACAAGTATGAGACATCGGGTCATAAAAAAAAGACACTAAAGAGACATCCTAGAAATGTGCAGCTCCCACCGCACTACATTATTTCATATGTGTGCCCATGCGCTGGAGCCGGCCACCTTTCAGCTCAGCCGCGTACTCCACTCCTGACATCCACTCGTAGTCATAAATGCGCTTGCTTCCCGAAGGCAGCATGTTAAATATATCCTCGGATGCCGAGTCGGTCTCGCCTTCTCCCGGCTCCTCGTCTGTCCACAGACTGACGGAGCCGTGCGGCTGCGGCTCCCGGTCGCTGGCCGGCGGTGGCACATTGCTCTGCTCGATCTCCAATTCAGCGCCGCTTCGGGAGTTTTTATCTTTCATTAAATAGTTACAGATGGCATCGATGTTCTCCTTTTTGATGCCAGGGGCACCTGCTTTCGTTTTCTTTGGGTCATTGTTAGTATATTTGGCACCCGGATGGAAATCGGATTTCCGAAAGGGAGGCGGATCCCTGCCGTCCCTCTCAGCCGCCTCCAGTCTCGCCTTTAGCGCTTCGATCTCGTCCGATTTCTCGCGGAGCTCCATTTTGAGCACCCGTATCCTGACGCTGACCATCTTCCTGATCTCGGACAGCGCCGTCTCCAGCACCACCGAGATGTTCCTGCCGAGATGCTCTGTGATCTCGCTGACCGAGTTCAGCAGCTCCTCATCGTTCTCCACGGCGGCGCCGTCGTCGTCGGCCTGGGGACGGGGAGCCATCATGTTCATAAAGGCGTTTTGGGAATCGGGGGAAAGGGCAACTTCCGCGAAGCTGTAGCCCCTCTTTCGACTCATGGCCGTGAAAGCTCCTACTGTTTTGGAACTTGTGTTGATACAATGCAGGACTGTGCAGGTACCACAGAGTCTTTGTACAACTGGCCGCAAAAAGAAAGTGATGCCTCTGTAATGTAGCGCCATCTCTCTCGCCCTCCACGAACATTCTTCACATCTCAGGGGGCAGATTTATTACATGATTATTTAAAAGGTTGATTTACATAGTTAATTTAAGTTGGATTCATCATAAATACTTACATGAAGATATTCCCCAGCCTTTATATGTAAGTGAGCTAAGTTCTGGCATTAATGTTAATTTATGTAAAAGATAAAGAAAAAAAACAGATGGGTCATTCCATTTTAGTTTCCAAAAAAGTTTTTGCATGACAGTCTTTGATTTTGATTAAATTGGGCATGTAAATTACTTTTCTTCCAGAGCTCCGAATTGTTTCTTGATTATTTATATAGTGCCTTTCCTGAACCCTGGGTAACAAAAAATGACAATTCAGAGTGTTTTCATACAGTGAGGGAAATAATTATTTGACCCCCTGCTGAATTCTTAAATTGATCCATTAATAAAGAAATGAGAAGTCTATAACTTCACTGGTAGGTTTATTTTAACAGCAAAAGATAGATAGATCAACAAAACAAGCCAGAAAAATCATTATGTAACAGTTACAAACCAATTTGTCATTTATCTAGGGAAATAATTATTTGATCCCCTGGAACACATGCTTTAGTACTTGGTGGAATATCCATTGTTGGCAAGCACAGCTGTCAGATGTTTCTTGTAGTTGGTCACCAGGTTTGCACACAGCTCAGCAGGAATCCACTTTTCTTTGCAGATCTCCTCCAATTATTTAGGGTTTTTAGGCTGTCACTTAGATACACGAAGCTTGAGTTCCCTCCATAGGTTTTCTATGGGATTAAGGTCCGGAGACTGGTTAGGGCACTTCATGACCTTAATCTGCTTCTTCTTGAAGCGGCTTAGGGTTGTTGTCTTGCTGGAAGACCCACCCACAATGCATTTTCAGTGCCCTGGCTAAATGAAGGCGGTTCTCTTCCAAGATTTTACGCTACATGGCCCCATCCATCTTTCCTTCGATGCAGTGCAGCCGTCCTGTACCCTTGGCAGAAAAATACCCCCAAAGCATAATGCTTCCACCTCTGTGTTTGACAGTAGGGATGGTGTTCCTGGGGATACTGTCAGCAGACTTTTCCCTCCAAAGACAGCGAGTAGAGTTGATGCCAAACAGCTCAATTTTGGTCTCATCTGACCATATGACATTCTTCCAAGCCTCATTGGAATTATTCCCTTGTTCACTGGCATACTTCAGATGGGTCTGAACACGGGCCCTTATGAAAAGGGGTACTTTGTGAACACTGCAGGATTTCAAACTATAACTGCATACTGTGTTACCAATGGTTTTCCTGGCAACCGAGGTCCCTGCTGCTTTGAGATCATTAATGAGCTCCTCCCGTGTAGTTCTGGGGTTAGCCTTCACTGTTCTTAAGATCATTCATGCCGCACAAGACGAAATCTTCCTTGGGGCCCGAGATCCAGGGTGATTGACAGTTATTCTGTCTTTCTTCCATTTGCAAATACTTCCACCAACAGTTGTCACTTTTTCACTAAGCTGCTTGCTGATGGTCATGTAGCCCATTCCACCTTTGTCAAGGTCAACAATCTTATCTCTGACATCCTTAGACAGCTTTTTGGTGTCTCTCATGGTGATAAGATTGAAGATCTAGAAAGGTTAGTGACCAAAGAACAAAGTAATGCCATTAAATGTGAATGCTGGCTTGGTATCTGTTAATACATAATTAAGTACCTCTTGTGTTAATGTGTTCATTTCTTGCTGACTTGTAGGGGATCAAATACTTATTTCCCTTGATAAATAACAAATTGATTTGTACCTGTTACATAATGATTTTTTCTTGTTTGTTTTCTTGAAAATCTATCTTCTGATGTTGAAATAAACATACCATTGAAATTATAGACTTCTCATTTCTTTATAAATGAGTGAACTTGGGAATTCAATGGGGGTCAAATAATTATTTCCCTCATTGTATGAGCTGTAACTTTTTTACTATTGCAGATAAATGGCTCAGAATGAGGTTTTTTTCATGGTGTGGTCAAAGTGTTTAAGTTTCAAGGTAAAAGTTAATCTAATGAACTGCATATCTGACCTCATTCGGTTATGAATAAATCAATCAAGAGCACAGGGTAACAAGTCCATTTGAAATAACAAAACACATGTTTGTGTACTACTTGTGTATAAAATGTTGACCTTTTACTTGGTTCACTTCATGAGATAAGCACCCCAAAAGTGTCCAATTAAAAACAGCATGTGGGTCATTCCATGTCAAATCATCACATTTTCGGACCTCATGGTCATGGATTTTAACGAAACTTGGCATGCTGATTTGGTCACATGAGTAACTCATGAAACTGAAATTGGGCATGTNGGGGGGGGGGGGGCTATGACTTACCTTAATATAAGCTGCACAGAAATGGTCCTTATATTTTTTAAAGCTATTGTCCAGTTCTGTAGATTGAACAAATAATATGCCATCCCCATATGAGTAATTACTATGTAATAACTGATTGATATTTTAAAAATTCAATAACAAAAAAACCTATATTTCAAAATTGATAATTTGTTTTTACTAAAGCTAGATCATAATGTCATGAACATAATTTGGTCTTTGGTTATTAAGGTGTTGCTGAGATATCTTGACGTAAAGGTAGCGTCTCATGGTTTCATATCACTAATGGGTATTCTTCATGACAGTAAATTAAATCAATGTGGTGTAATCACAGTCTACATAATTGATTCATTGTTGTTTATTAATCCCTGATTAACAATCTACAATGCTACAAACACAAGACTGGAATAAACAACTTTCTGGGGCAGTCTGACACCATAACCATATGTGGGGTGCTTTGTGATTCACAAAATAATGCGCAGAGTCCGCTGATATTCCATGGCGCTTTCTGCTCAGTCCAGACTGCAGTAGAACATTGCATCTCGCCGATGCTGCTGAACAGGCATGTTCCTCCTGGTGTCTCTGAGCTTCTGCAGGTCGATCTCCACCAGAGCCAAACCCGGTTCAGTTGCTCCACAGTCACCCAGCACCTCTCCCCAGGGGTCCACTGCCAAGGCATGACCGTATGAGCTGCGTTTGGCATGATGACACCCGACTTGGGCAGCAGCCATGACAAAACACTGACTCTCAATGGCCCGAGCACGAAGCAGAACCTACCAATAGGAACACACAATACAGGTTTGTCCACAAAAACATCACGCTCCTGTACAAAACACACACCTGCTCAAATAAATATCCAAGATATAAGGAAAGCCTTCCAGCGCAGGACCAATTAATTAAAAGCCAGCACCCAAAATGGTAATCATGTCCCTGTCTCACCTCCCAATGGGCAGCACCTGTTGCCACAGTAAAGGCTGATGGATAGGTCAAAATCTCTGCTCCGTGACGCAGGAGAGCCAGAGAGAGTTCTGGAAATCGGAGATCATAGCATACACCCAGACCAACCTGCGATCCAAAAGAATGGCCTGTTTATACAGCTGGATCCTAACTGTAGAAATTCTTTAAAATGTGTACATGAAGTTCGCAAGTTCTCTTAGTTTATGCAAATTTCCTCCTGTAGCTCTAAGACATGGAGTTAAGTGGAATCTCCCTGCAGCAGCCTGAAAACCCAACTAAGGTGAACCCCGGACTTGTGCCTAGGACTGGTTCCAAGGCCCCACACTACCCTAACCAGAATTAATGTTTGTTAATGAATGAATGGATGTTTGAAAACCAACCTTTCCCACTGGGGTTTGAACAGGGGGCATCAGACTGTGTCCAGGTATAGTAAAGGAACTCTCCTTCAGAGAAACACCTTTTCCTGTCAGCTCCACATCAAACAGGTGGCCCTTTCTGTACACTGACACAATGCTACCTATGGGAACAAGATAACGAGACAAAAGTGTAACTCCAAAACACTGTGTTTTTCCTTACAGTGATTCGGTCATTTAAAATGCACAGGTCATGCTTCTCTACCTGCATGCATCTACTGCATCTCAGTTCCTTCCCTGATGCATTATTACAGAGAATTAGCTTATCATGCATTTGCAGGAATGCAGGGTGTTTACCATGCAGGGAGTAAGTTGATGATATAGCTCAAATTGAACATGTAAGCTGAGTTATTTAGTATGTACTTAGGCAAAGACATTAGCATGTAACAGTTCAATTACATTCATATGCGATATGTGCAGGGGAAATGATTACCCGTGTCATTAATGATGATGTGACTATTGTAGATCCGCCTGTCTGTCTCCCAGTCTTCCCCTCTCTCATGAAAGCCCCCCAGAGAAAGCCAAATACCCAGTTTCCTATGAAAATAACAAAAGGAAAAAACTATCAAGAGATTCCCATATGGCGTCTATGAATGCATTCATGTTTCCCTCCAGTCTGCTCCACTGGCCCAGTACAACATCAGAAAATATTATGGGGTTAGTTATATTATAAATGGAAATTATAAAGAGGTTCTTCTAGCTTTTTATAACCAATAACGTGGAAACTAGTGGTGCAATGGTACACAGTATTTTACTGAACAGGTCACTACGCCACTTACTGACGGTATTACGATATTTTCCTATAGGTACTGGTGCAAGTACAAGACACTTATTTTTTCACCCAAAAAATACAGGGTCATCATTTTTGAGGGATAGAATTTACATATTATTATACAACAGAGACGGCATAAATCATCCAACTCCTGGCTAAAGGTAGGCATGTACTTCAAAAGTAATCAATGTCGTTTCAGCAATACGACGTTATATGAGTGGTGATCCCTCCTAGTGTCCACAGCTGGCTGACATAGTATGATACAGTTGGCCTGGTTAGCGGTCAGCATGCCTTGTACCACACCAACTTAAAATGGTGTAATTTAATATGTGGAATTTGTATATATATGTTAATTGTAAATGTTGTTACATGTCGTAATGTTTGCCATGGAATGCATGCATTTCGTTGGAATGAGTGTCATGTAAACTGTTTGTTTCCTTGTCCGTACTGCTGCTAGTATTAAACTGATAATGGCTGTTAATAGTGAGTGTTTCATTTAGAAGTGCTGTCATCTCCATTATTAAAAAGACTTGACCATTTGTGGGTCTATTGTATCAAAAACATTCTGCACCCTCTTGGGTTGTGGAGTTTGTAATCCATTATCTACCTGTACTGTGATTGCCTGTGGTTGCTATTTAACAGTGATATGCTTAACTTTGTATACATTCTTCTCAAATAAAATTATTTCTGTTTAGAAAGATGTGATTTGGTATTCCAAAAATTAATTTAATATTGCCTGTACAGGTACTGTACATACTAGGTATACTGTTCATTTAAAATAGAATAGACTAAGCACCTACAGGTTATCAAAGTTAAGTAGTAATGTTTTTCTCTCCTTGATTTAGAGACATAACCTAGGCCTAGTTAGTCCTGCTGCCATTTTTCTGGAGAGTTGTTATATGGAAAAATAAAGAGTTTTGTTTTATTAAAGGGTTATGTGTTTTTATTTAATTCTTAAATAGAAAAATACCAAAACCGTTCCATTAGCAAAAACCATGACACACACTCGTACCTACTATTGAGGACACCAATATCAAATCCTCAGCATTTTTTCTGCAAGGGCTATCACTATTTTAAAAATCCTGATTACGGCCCGGCCGTGGCATATGTTGAACCGTGGGAAAACCGTACCATTACACCCCAAGTGGAAACATACTACTTAAATATATTGTGTATATTTTTAATTTTAACTAGTAAAAAACTACTCAACTGCCACCTAGGTAGGTGTGAGCAGTGCATGACTGCTGCCCACCTGGCCAGCTGGGTGTAGCGTGAGATGGTGTTCCCCAGCAGACTCTCTGACAGCTTTAGGGTCTCTTCTTGGTTGGATCCGATGTAATCAAATCCCTCTGGGAGAAAGACCATGCTAGCCCCGCCTTCCTTTGCCTGCTCCACCAATCGCATGCAAGCAGCAAAGTTGGCTTCCTTATCAGGTGTACAGGTCACCTGACAAATTGCAGCCAATGGGACAGAGGACATCCTGAGAAAAGATTAAAGTCTTTAAAGAAAAAAGTAGTAAATATGGTCTAGAACAATGGATCTAGGCTAACATAAAATGTAGTATTTTTATAGTATAAAATATAATATTCTTAATATTAATATATATAAATACCAGAATGTCAAACTATAATATCGTTAAATACATTAAAAGGTTTCATAATGCACATTTTAAATTCTTTGATAATTTCACTGCCCCCCAAATAGACCTTCTTTAATAATCATTACATATTAAAAACGAAATATAATGTTAAGCAAATAACCTTGCGTAAACGTAGTAAATATACTGCAAATATTTCCTCCTGTAATTACCTGCACTTTCTTATTAAGCAAAAACCCCAGCTTGACTGATAACGCAAATACAACGCACGGGGCTGCAAAATGGTTTTGAACAGTAGCATTGACAATGTCTGATAAGCCGTAATTCGCAGGTGCTACAATTTATTATTCACGAACCTTCGCGCTTTCTACTATTTAAATTCAACTACAAAACAACTGGATATCATCATTAATCGTGTTAAAATGACAAATATTAAACGACTGAAGTCCTTTGTCAGGCCCCATGGAGCGACAAAGATCACCCAGTTTTCTGCAAACCTGAGCTATCTGCCGGCCGAACCGTAGGCAACGGTGCTTATTTAGAAAGCGGCAATAGCAACTAAATGTGAAATATACAAATAATACATTAGTAATAGCAAGTACGTGCTCAGCATCCACTGACTTTACTGAAAACCAGGAAATTCGCTCTAGGACAAACTTCCCAATCATTAACCAATAAAAAGATCTCTAGGCAACTATGAAAACTTATATAAGCGATTTAATAATTATATATGTCATGTAACATTATCGTCTGCGTCTGAATTTGATTAATTTAAAATCCAAAAGAAAACAGGAGTATCTAGCAAGGCATTAGCTGAAGCCTATTGTTGCAGGCAGTTAATGAGACAGCTACGAATTGTCATTAGGGGTCCTCGAACAGGGTGTACTTCATTTCAAGATGGCGGCGAGCAATAGTAGTAGCACGGTAGCTAGTAAAACTAGTAACACCGGTGGTGGGAAGCAATCTGCCCCTTCTGCGGAGCAGGTAATTTTCTTGTACTCTTGCTGTTCATCTTAGCATTAGAATTATTAAAAATTGACAGAATGGGTATTTATTTTCAGCTTCGTTGTCAGGGGTGCCTGGCTAATCGGTTGTATGTTCGTGGACTGACAGTGGGCACGTGATAGAGCCCGATAGCAAACTTGCAGCAAAATAGAGCTACATTACATTACATACAACATTAAAGCATCTCAAATATTAATTCGGAATTAGCCATTTTCAAATATAACAAACTAAGAATTAAACAGGAGAAGTGTGACCATGCCGAACAAACACCTAAATGGAAGAGCCTATGGTGGCAACTTTCTGTATGTATAGGGATGCCGTTAGGCAGTTGAGTTACTAGGAATTATCAACTGCTACGTTGAAGATTGACATGTTTACTGTATTTGTGTTTAGAGACTTTTTTTTTGGTTATGAATAAAAAAAGCATATAGTTATATATGTGTTCCCTAATTAAGAGCTATTTCCAAGGAATGATTCAGTGTAATAGTTTACCCCAAACTATCTTTATTATATACAGTTCAATATATTCATGTATTGAAACCAAGTATTGTTATAATGACATAACTGTATGGCCAGAGTAATTAAGAATTAATAGCGTTGTGATTAGAGCTGTTGTCATTGTTGTTCAAATTTTTTAACGATTTTTTTTATTCTCTGTGAAATTTTAATGTAGAAATGTATCCTATTTTTTCTGTGTCGAGTGTTCCTCCTTGCATCTTTCTTCCAGTCTAGAGAGCTGTTTGTAGTGTCTTGACCTGTATGCACGCGTGTTTGTATGACACAGGTAGTGGCCACATTTCAGCGGATGCGTCAGGAACAGCGTAGCATGGCTTCCAAAGCAGCAGAGCTGGAAATGGAGATCAATGAGCACAGGTATGTGTGCATCTCTGTTTCTCTCTGCTTGACTGGAGGAGGTGCCCTTTCTGATTCCTGCCTGGAGGGGGGGGGGTGCCCTTTCTGATTCCCAACAGCATGGCCATTCATCACTGGCCTTCCATGCTCTATGTATGTATCGGTTTGTCTATTTGTTACTTTAACCTTAAGAAGGCAGGAGACACAAACATGTTAAAATATCAACTTAGTAAACAAAAATAATTAGTTGCACCGAACATAACACTTGCATCTGGGTAGTAGAATTACTTTTTTTTTTTTTGTAATTTTTGCAGTGTGGATAATGGAGACTCTTGGATAGGGTAAACTTTTTCATTGTTGCAAGGAATATGCATATTCTGCTTAATTCTGGTGGATAAGAAAACATGTGACTTTAAATTAGTACTTGTTTTTGTAAATCATGTCTCGTATATAAAATCAGTGACTTTTTGTCAAGCAGCAGCCTCGGTTACTGAGAAAAGTGATGAGAACAATGAATATGTTATTTCCATTTGTAACTTATCAGTATAGGAGAGAAGATGTAGCCTTGGGAAGATTTAGTTTGATTTAGATTTCAAATAATTATCTTCATTTCTCAAGGGCATGTATTTCACAATGAATATACTGGAGCACTAATGTATGTGAACCTCTTTAATAATTATTGATAAAATCACCTTCGTACTCAGTGACCAGATGAGTATCATTGTCGGGAGAATCCTGCACAGATTTGTTGTGCAGGATTTCAGTTTGCAATAATGCTATACATTTTCTTGGTTGGGTCATTCACCTAATTCTGCAGTACATCGTAATTTGGAATAATTGTGTCTGTTGTCTTTCAGCCTTGTTATTGACACTTTAAAGGAAGTAGATCCTTCTCGGAAGTGCTTTCGTCTGGTTGGAGGTGTCTTGGTGGAAAGGACTGTGAAAGAGGTCCTACCGGCATTGGAGAACAATAAAGAACAGGTTTGTCTCAGTAATAGGCACAGATGAGCCAAAGCAGGGCCATACTCATGCCTTAATAGTGTCATCAGCAGTCTTTGAAATTAACTTAAATTTGAAATAAAAAAAAATTTATTGTTCCCTTCATTTTGTTAAAATACTGAATGAAGTAAATTTCTGTCATCTGAATAAAGATTAATTTTACAATCATTTCTTCCTTGAATAATCTGCAGTATAATTACTGTACTGGGAATTGTGCAGTGTAGCTGGGTAACAATAATTTACAACAGATTGAGCCCTCACTACTCATTGTGCCCTTAAGCTTTTCTGCTGTGGAGCACTGGAGACTAGCTGACCATGCACTTTTCAGATTCAGAATACTTTATTGATCCCTGAGGAAATTCTGTAATTTACCCACAATAAACCTTGCTTTTACCTGTGTATACATGTCTGTGTCTCTCCCCAACATGAAGAGCAACACAGGATATGTGAAAATGACTCAATTTCCCCAAGGGTATGAATAAAGTACCTTTATAGCAAACCTGATTAAAAGCCAGCTGTCAAAATCATTTAAAGGAGAAGGGAAAAACAGGTAAATAAAAAAAATTAAAAATTAAAACCTACAGTAGTGTAATGTTGCCAACATGACAAAAATAAACCCATTCTCCTTATGAGAAATTAAAAATTCTCTAGTTTTTTTTCTGTTATTAATTTGTCTAAATTGTTTTTGTTAAAACGACACACCTTTCTCATATCATAATGAGTATGTTATATTTTTGTAAGGAGAAAAAGATCAAAATAAAATGGAGAGCCAAACTCAAATTGATAATGACTCTTTTACATGATTTGATCAAGTTTTACTTCCTGCTGGGGATGAGACAATGTGCAATTCTACTGTTATTGGGCTCAGAAGATGGTATTGTCCTATTTTGGAGGGTATTATTGCCACCAGGCTAAAAGCCAATCATGCCAGTTAATCCACAGCAGATCAAAATGCCTGAAACTGGAAGGATGACCAATAGAATGTTCATGTTAAAATGAGAGAGCTTCCAAGCACACATGTTGTATAAAATATTGAGCTTAGAAAAATAACTTTTCATTTCTTTGTAGATCTCAAGGCTAGTGGAATCACTCAACTCACAGATGCAGGCCAAAGGGCGGGAACTGACCGAGTACCGAGAAAGATACAATATCCGATTGGTGGGAGAAGAGGAAGGGCAGGGGAAAGCAGCTGCAGCGTCCAACCAGGAAAATGGAGGGGGTGGGGCTAAAGGAGGAGCGGGTGTGTTGGTATCATAGTGGGAGTGGATTTAGGAAATTATTAGACTGCTACGTTGAAGATTGACATGTTTACTGTATTTGTGTTTAGAGACTTTTTTTTTGGTTATGAATAAAAAAAGCAATTGTAACGTAACTTTGTTTTTGTATTTTTTTGCAATAATTCATCTTAACATTCATTTAAATTTCTATACACAATTACATTCAACTTAGCAAGGCAAAACAAGATGAACATTCTCCAAATGTCTTTTTTGGATATGAAATTGTTTTTGCTTGCTAAGTTCAACCCATGTTGAGTTTTCTGTGGGCGCTGTTCATGTATGTAGGATGGTTCCCAAAATTCATCATAAAATGTGTTTAGTAAGCATATTTTTTTGCTTAGAGGTGAAGCCAAGCATAATCAATGTGTTACAAAGTGACGACTAACAGCTCTACTACACATTGGCGAGGGTTAGGGGGAGAAGATCCCAGTGAATGTGAAAATTCTAGGGCTGTCGAAGTTAACGTGTGCGATTAATGTTATAACAACATTGTTAAATCGTGTTAACACAATCATATAGCCTACCGTAGAACCCCGCTTAGGGTTTGGGAGAATGCCTTTATTGAATTTTCTCTACCATGTTGTTAACCTGGTCCCATCATGTTTTTTTGGACTTTTAAGGTACTGTAATCACTTCTGGGCCAGTTAAGTTCTTCCACACCAAACTCACCCAACCATGTCTTTATGGAGCTTGCTTTGTGCACTGGGGGACAGTCATGCTGGGACAGAAAAGGGTCTTTCCCAAACTGTACCCACAAAGTTGGAAGCAAAGAATTGTCCAACATGTCTTGATATGCTGAAGCATTTTGGGTTGCCTTTACTGAAACTAAAGGACCTAGCCCAACCACTGAAAAACAACCCCATACCATCATCCTTCCTCCACCAAACTTTACAGGCAGGTAATAATCTCCTGGCATCCATCATACCCAGACTCATCCATAAGACTTCCAGACAGAGAAGTGTGATTCGTCACTCCACAGAACATGTTTCCACTGCTCCAAACTACACCACTCCATCTGATGCTTGGCATTGCGCTTGGTGATGTGAGGCTTGTATTCAGCTGCTCAAACATGAAAAACCATTCCATGAAGCTTCCGGCGCACAGTTTTTATGCTGGGGTCAATGTCAAAGGAAGTTTGGAACTCTGCAGTTATTGAGTCAACAGAGCATTGGTGCTCTGTTACTTTACATGGGCTGCCACTTAATGGATGAGTTTCTGTTGTTCCTAAACGCTTCCACTTTGCAATAATATGACTTAGAGTTAACTGTAGAATATCTAGCAGAGAGGAAATTTAATAAACTGACTTATTTCAAAGGTGGTATCCTATAACAGTATCACACTTGAATTCGCGTGGCCAGGTGCTTGATTTTACACACCTGTAGCAATGGGTCTGAATGAAACACCTGAATTCAATGATTAAGAGGTGTGTCCCGATACTTTTGTCCATATAGTGTATATTTTCAGAGACCAGGAAACAGGGTTATCCCTTTGCAGTAGCCATTATACTTACCAAAATCATTATACAACCCATGCTGTTTTTTTCACGTTAAAACAAGTAAAGTCAGAAAAAGTTTATCAAATAAAAGATAACTCTTTATAAAAATGTGGAATCTAAACCTAGACAAATTAAAATTATGGGTCATTCTATTTTAGTTCAATAAATAGCCAGGGTACAAAAAAAAAATTCCATAATTGGGAAGAAGGTACTCTTTAGCTGCTTTTAAACAAAAATTGTGTCATTTAAAAGGCTGTAGGAATTACAAGGCTCTGATCAAGTGTTTCTCCTTTGTCTTGCAGGATATGGTCTAGGCATACCATTGGTCAAGATGAGATTATATTCAACTTTATTACCATTGTGCAGAATATTGGTACAGAGCCAATGAAATGCAGTTGGTATCTAACAGGTCAGATCATGCACTGGTCCCATGCGTCGCCACACCCACCACACAACGAAACACCTTGAGATCCTGGATGGCAACCCCCCAGGCCGACACATGGTCTAGTCCCACCCCCCAGAAATGGGCATCTATCTGCCACAGCCAGGTGTTACCTGGGTGTTCCCTTGGCCTGGTCCAGCTGCTGAGGACCCTACGAGCCATATCACCCTCCGGGAAACATGCTACATGGCCATAGTGCCGTAATTGACGCTCCCTCACGATACAGGTAATTTGCCTTATTCAGGAATACCTCAGCATCTGTTTGTTAGACACAAAGTCAAACCAGTGGTACCCAAGGATTCTCAAAAGAGACACAGTACCAAAGGTGTCAAGTCTTCATCTCAGGTCACTGGATAGCATCCATATCTCGCAGTCATACAGCAAGACAAGGAGCACCAGGACTCCGTCCTCTTACAAAGATATCAAGAGTGCCACACATCCCTTTCCACTGACCTCATGACCCCACGGATGACTCAATCCATCTAGTGACTTCATAGGAAGAGGCACCAGAGACAGGAATGTCACATGCTGATGGCTGTGCTGAAGAAGTCATAAACCAGCATCTAACCAGATGCAAATTATATACAGTGGTACCTCGGTTCTCGAACTTAATCCGTTCCGGACTACGGATCGAATACTAAAAAGTTCGAGTTCTGATCAAATTTTTCCCATAAGAAATAATGGAAAACCAATTAATTGGTTCCTGGCCCCCCAAAATCACACATAAATGTTTTTTTTTAGCATTAAAACACAAAATGAACAGGATAAAACAAGAACAACATTTTTTTCTTAATGGCTTCCAAAAGATCTTATCCCAACATTACCCCTGTCCTGCCTCCATCGTCCGCTCCTTCCATTTGCCACGCCCCCTCGGTAACCTCGTGTTGGATCCCCATGTGATCAGCTGTTTCTGGTTGTTGTCATTAGTCCTCTGTATTAAGGCCACGTTTCAGTTTGTTTCCCCAGTCTGGTCATTGGGTGCATTCGACTTGCTTACAGCGCTGTCTTAAAGCAACGCATTCTGATCCTGACGCAATGCATCACGGTTAGATGCATTGCGACCTCTCACCCGACTGCACAAACTGGAACCGCCTCCGACACACCTTTGCCATTATTGGCTGAAGAGTTTAGTTACACGCATGTCCAAGAGAGTCTGGCTGCAGACATCCACTGAGGCTCACTAACACGCAGGAAGTGACATCACAGATCCACTGAGGCGCACAGCCATAGATATCTTCCATGATACATCAATTGACACGTCACAGCAGCAGCTCCTTCTCGATTTCACAATTTAGATTTAAAAATGGTTCTAGTTATCACTCGTTTGTATGCATGTATTTTTAAATCAAAGATTATTTTATTTGAAAATAGTTTGTGCTCATCACGCATTTGAATTATACATTTTAAAAAGTAGTTTGTACTTACCAAATTACAAGTAATGCAATTCTTAATTATAAAATTCAAAAATATTATCATCTTATCAGCTGTAGTCCTGATTGTGACTGTCAATGGTGACCAGATTTTTCCCTCCCCAGAGAATTATATTGAAGCCTTAAAGACTGCAAAATTATGCTTCTCGCAGAGCGTTTCTCCATACTTCTGTTATTCAAAGATAATGTACATCCTACATAAATAAATCACTATACATAGATAATTTGGCAAACATTTTATTTGTAGTGTATTGATGCATAAATAAATTTGAACAAATGTGCAAAAAAAACAAAAAACAAAAAAAGAGTATATGGAACAGAATAAAATGAGGAAAAATTTGTATTATGTAAACATGGCATGAATTTTAATACCCATCCCATCAATGCAATTAGAGAGGAAGGTTTCCATGTCCTCCCTATTACTAAAAATAAACATGAATGGGTCATTCCTGTTGTCATGTTGACCCTCCATGACCTCCCTGAGTGCTTCCTGCTGATCCTCAGCCTCCATCTGGAGAACAGTAGGTTCGGTCACCTCTCCACGGAAGAGAGAGTGATTCTTGCGAATCCAGCACACATCACTGCGGAGGTCCCTCATGATGCGCGACTCCTATATGACATTGTAAGTGAATATCAGGGATTAAATAAGTTAATCAGGTGCAGCTGGTAGTCAACAGGAAAACCACCTGAGAAAAATGAGGGACACACACACACCCCACTATTACACTTGGTACAGCAGTCAGTTACAGCTTGCCCACCAGGTCTGAGAACAGCAGGAGTGCTCACCCTCGAGACAGGCTCAAAGTTCACTTTCATCAGATGTGAAGCTTCCTCTGTCCATGTCTGAGTAGTACAAGTACACATCACACACACTACCAAGACTTAATGTTACAATATCTAAATGTATCATCAATGGTGTCATTAATACCCATTTACGCAAAACCTCTCTATTAGCTAACTGCACTACCACTGATGAATTAATGGAATATCACCTTAAAAATAACAAAAATATAATATTCAGCCTCCCTGCCGGGCTTTACCCAGTATTCTATATCTGACAGAAACCTCCTTCACTGCAGAGAAAGTGCACTTGATTCTGCATCTGAATGCATCTCAATGTACAACACGATGCTTTCCATACATACTTTTCCAGACCACTGTTCATCAGAGTTAGACACCACCATTTTCTTATCCATGGCATGTTAGACTGAATATAAAAAGACAAAAACCATGCATTCAGAATGTTAG